GCAAAATAATTTAAAAGTTTTAATCAGAGAACAACTCTTAAAGTCACATTAGGACATGGAAGTCACAGGGGATGGATTTCAATGTGGCCAGGAGCATTCTGGGATGGAGCAATAGAAAAAAGAAGAACTTGAATCATGGGCGGGCAGGAGTCAGACAGCTGGGGACAGGTGGTAGGGTGGGTAAACAGAAGAGGATGAGCCAATCTGAAGGCAGAACTGAGCATAAATTTAGATGACTTAGAAGAATGATTTGAAATTGATTTGGAAAATACCTGGGAGAAAACTTAGGGGGAGGTATACACTGGTCAACTAAATATATATAAATACACACACACACACACACACACACATATATATATATATATATATATTAAATGCTTCTTAAGAGCAAGGCACTGCTCTAGGCCCTTGGGATACAGTAGTGGAAAGAACCAAGTTCCTGCCATCAAGGAATTCAAATCTGTGGTGCAGCAGGGTGGGTGGGTGGGAGTAGGAAATAACTACTTACATTTTTAAAATGTTATTTATTTATTTGAGAGGTAGAATTAAAGACAGAGGGAGGGAAAGACAGAGAGAGGTCTTCCAGATGCTGGTTCACTTCCCAAATGATCACAATGGCCAGAGCTGTGCCCATCTGAAGCCAGGAGCCAGGAGCTTCTTCTAGGTCTCTCCCATGGGTGCAGGGGCCCAAGCACTTGGGCCATCTTCCACCGCTTTTCCAGGCCATGACAGGGAACTGGATTGGAAGAGTAGCTGGGACCTGAACCGGTACCCAGATGGGATGCTGGTGCCACAACAGAGGCTTAGCCTACTATGCCACAGCACTGGCCCCTATTGCTACATACATATTTTGAAAAGATAATTTCTGATGGGTGAAATGGCTGTTTATTCATTTGATTGTTGTTTATAGCCCTTGCCTATGTTCCCAGTAACTAGGGTATTTTTTACTTTTACTTGTTAAACTTTTTATTTGGTAGAGCATTAAGCTTTTGACTGTAATGTAAATTAAAACTATGTTATCTCAAAAACTAAGAAAGAAAGGGAGAAGGAAAAAAAGTGGGAGGGATGGAGGGAGGGAATATCATTGTATTCTAAGAATTGTATCTATGAACAATATGGAATCTGCTAAAAGCTAAAAAAAAACTAAAATAAAAAGATAATTTCAGATTATGATGAATTTTATCATTGTCTCTGTGACAAAAGAAAATGAAACAAATTATAACCACTAGGCTTTTAAAATCATGTACATTTCTAGACAGAACAGACATGCCATATGTGTGCATTTGATTTTTTTGTTAATGTGTTATTATCTTCCATTTGAACTTCTTAGTAGGAATCTTTTAAAACCATGTGTCCATTTTGTGAAAGAAAAAGACACTCTATCTTATAATAAATAAAGATAGATTGGTCAGCATTCTGTTTTATAATCCTTAAGTCCAGTTAACTGTGCACAGGTAAATGGACAAGTTGCAGGAAGTGAGTGGCTGAGTGAGGGCACGTGTCAATCTCTCCCAGGTATGGACGTCCTCCTGTTGTCTCAGGAAGTCAGCACGTGACGCATGGTCACCTCATAGATACCCTGAGTTAAGCCGTGTCAATGGCCAGAATTTACATTCATAGTTTTTCTCCAGTTCTTATTTTTTTCAAAAACCTAGAAGGTATAATTATTTTCATTTCACCCTGGCCAGGGTGCACACATGACATTTTTTGGAAACCACTACAACAGAGAGTGCATGTGGAGAGGGTGGCTATTTTACTAAGGATGACCGGAAAGGCACTCTGTGAGGGACAGTTAAGCGGAAACCTAAATGATGAGATTTGAACAGCCATGCAAAGAAGAGCACTTTAGGCAAAGGTGTAGTAGGGAACAGAGCCACATCATATCACGGGATGAGAGATTGACTGTAAGCATCAGATCTTGGGGCCGGCGTTGTAGTGCAGGGGAGTAAGCTGTTGCCTGCAATACCGGCAACCACTATGGGCACCAGTTTGAGTCCTGGATACTCCATTTCTCATACAGCTCCCTGCTAATGGCCTGAGCAAACAGCAGAGGATAACCCCAAGTGCCTGGGCTCCTGCCACCCATGTGGGAGACAGGATGAAGCTCTTGGCTTCTGCCTGCCCAGTCCTGGCCATTATACCCATTTGAGGAGTGGATCAGCAGATGGAAGATTCTCTCTCATGTCTCTGTCTCTCCCTCTCTCTCCATAACTCTGACTTTCAAATGAAAATAAATCGTTTTTAAAGAAAGAATCGAATCTTACCCAGATGAGGAAGTCTGAAAAAGATAGTAAAGATGGTGAAAGTCACTGACTGGTCCATCAGCAGCACTGGGACAGCTGGACAAGTCCGAAAATCCAAGAAACCAAGTGTGCTTTGTTGCCAAAAGGGGACTGTTAGGGTCCACAGGTAGCTGTTGTTTCAAGGTAACTGCTGCCTCTGTCAGGCGACTGCCAAGCATCAGGTGGAGGACCTGGAACCACTGGTGATTACAAGGCCAGCAGGTGCAGAGATGAGCTGAACTCAGAGGAAGACAGCAGGAACAAGCTGGGATCCAGCGGATACCACTGTGTCTGTCCATACGTCTAACCACGGTTCACGGTCACTCCTTCACTTCTGCCTTCCAGATCTCACAAAAGGTCCCCTTTGGCTAACCCTAACCTAGAAACGCAGGGATAGGGACACCCGGAAATGTAGTTCTCAGCCTATCCAGGTTGATCTATCCAGGAACAGCACATGCAAAGGCCCTGGGTAGGAAATGAAATCAGTGTACTTGAGAGACAGGTGAGGCTGGGACTCAGTGAGTGAGGGGCAGGGTGGAGGGAGGAGGGAGGTGGGAGGGAGCACAGTCCAAGAAGTAGGCAGAGCCTGGCTCCTCGGGGCACTGGAAGGCTCTGATATGTTGTCATTTTATCCTAAATGGCAGGATTTTAAGCAAGTGGTGGTATTCTGTGAGTCACTCTTTAAAAGCACTAATCTGGCTGTCACGGATGGCAGGGTTGCAAGAGAAAAGTTGAGAAAAATAGGCAGTAGGGAAGGCAGGAGGCTCCTGAGGTGGCACAGGAAAAACCTAGGATCACAAGACATGGAGACAGAGTAACAGAAGAAGTGTTCTGGTCTCAGTCCTTCCATGAATCCTTATAGTCCTGGAGGAGTTACTCTGTGTGAGAGATGTGGGACATCCTCTGAGGCATGGAAGGTGACGCCGAGGTAGGGGTGGTGGTGGCCGGAGGTGTATGCCACCAAGATTCAGTCCTTTTTATGCACTGGGCTCTACGCTGAGCCCATTCCTCACGCCAGTCCTGAAGGAGGACGCTGACACACACAGGGAACACCTGAACCAAGGTCACAGAGCTAGTACGTAGTGGGTCTCTGGTTCTCATCCAGGCAGCTCAGAATCCAGAATCAGCTCTTTCCACAGCAACCTGCTGTCTCCTAGGGTAAGGCCCTTCTAAAGATGTTTGTCCACCATTAGTGGCTGTATGTTGCCCAATCACACCTGTCCAGCCTCTCGAGTGTGCCCCAACTGTACTGGCTGATATTCTCTACCTAGTCTTTACCTTCTAGGAGCTTCCAAACTGCGTAATACCTCCAGCACAGGTTTATTTCCTGGACTCTTGAATAATACCACCACATAACTACTTCAGGCTTTATAATATCGCGACATATATAATTTTAAGAGATCAAGGGGCCGGTGCTGTGGCACAGTGGGTTAACGCCCTGGCCTGAAGTGCTGGCATCCCATATGGGCACTGGTCCTAGTCCCGGCTGCTCCTCTTCCGATCCAGATCTCTGCTCTGGCCTGGGAAAGCAGTAGAAGATGGCCCAAGTGCTTGGGCCCCTGCACCCACATGGGAGACCTGGAAGAAGCTCCAGGCTCCTGGCTTCTGATCAGCCCAGCTCCAGCTGTTGCAGCCAACTGGGGTGTGAACCATCGGATGGAAGACCTCTCTCTCTCTCTCTCTCTCCCTCCCTCTCCCTCCCTCTCCCTCTCCCTCTCCCTCTCTTTTCTCTGTGTAACTCTGACATTCAAATAAATAAATCTTTTAAAAAAGAGATCAAAGATCAAAACAAGGAAATTTGTAATTTCTTGGGCTTATATCTTCTCATCAGTTTTACTCTTTTTTTATTTTAAAAAAGATCTATTTATGTGAAAGGCAGAGTTACACAGAGAGAGAAGGAGAGGCAGAGAGAGAGAGAGAGAGAGAGAGAGAGTCTTCCATCACTGGTTCACTCCCCAAATGGCTGCAACAGCTGGAGCTGGGCTGATCAGAAGCCAGGAGCCTGGAGCTTCTTCCAGGTCTCCCATGTGAGTGGCAGCCGGAACTTGAACTAGTGCCCAAATGGGATGCCAGCACTGCAGGTGGCAGCTTTACCTGTTAAACCATAGTCCTGGTTCCTGGAATAGTGTTACTCTTAAGGATTAGGCAATAAATTTAATTCCTCATTACTCATATGAGTGAATGATTGTTGTAAGGCAGCATTGTCATATTTTCCATAGATGTTTCTTCTGTACTCATTCAAGGCCTACATGTTCTTAATCTCAATACATGATTAACCTTATGAGAGGGGGCAGTGCTATGGCACGGCAGGTTAAGCCGCCACCTGCAGTGCCAGGATCCCAAATGGGCACCAGTTCGAGTCCTAGCTGTTCTGTTTCCAATCTAGCTTCCTACTAATGCACCTGGGAAAGCAGCAGCAGATGGCCCAATTCCTTGGGCCTCTGCATTCACATGGGAGATACGGGAGAAGTTCCTGGCTCCTGGCTTCCACCTGGCCCCATCCCAGCAATTGTGGTCGTTTAGGGAGTGAATCAGCAGATGGAAGACCTCTCTCTTTGTCTCTCCTCTGTCTCTGTAACTCTTTCAAGTAAGTAAATCTTTAAAAAAAAGTTATGAGATAAAAGACAAAAAAGTAAATGAATAAGGATACATGAGAACTACTGTTAAATATGCAATAGTTGAAGGGCATGTTCAAGACAAAAAAAATCAAGATTTGTTTTCTCATTCATGACCTTTTTATTGATATCACCATCTTTTAACAAAGAAAATATACCAAAGTACAAAGTATATGTGCCAGTACTGCCTTGGATTTTAAAACTATTGGTTAATAGAATATAAATGTACTTATAAATGACAAACGATTAGTGTCTATCTGTCATAGATACATAATGGTGTTTGGTTAGTAGTAATAGTGTCCACTTTACTTGTGAGATGCCAGGTAACTGGATCACAGACTCTCAAATTGTGGAACATTTGGTCTTTCAGAGGAGTCACACAGTAGGAGCTAAGTAGTTTTATGATTAAAGGTGTTTGGGACGATCACCTGCAGCAGGAGTGACAGTAGCCAGGGAAGTGAGCCTAGGACATCCTCTGCTGTGCACTTCACTCAGCTTCCACGCTAGGGAAGTTCCCAAGCCCCGGAGCCTGCCAGGACTTCCACCACGCCCCTGCTAACAGAACATGCTGGTTTCACCAGCTCTTGGAATCCTCAGTTCCCTACACTCATGGAAGCTGGTGTGCTATTTCATGACCACAATACTTTGAAAAGTCTGCAACATGATCAACTGTTGTCTAAAATGAGTTTTCAAAAAGGTCTTCGTGGCCACCTTGTTAGATATTGAAGGAATGTTTGAACTGGATGGGGAGAGATTGGACACTGGCTGATCTCTATCGTCCCCTTTCCTGGAAGATTCTGTGATTCTAGATGTCCTGTATAGTTTATGAAATCAATCCACAGCATCCCAGTGCTCTGAACACGTGCTTCTTATTTGGTGTAGAAGCCAACTCAACATCCTGTCATAATAAGACAAGGAGATTACATCATGCCCTGGTCCCTGCAATGACAATGGCCTGAAGATAATGAAGAAAAGAGGTTCCCAGGGGTTAGACGAGAAGGAGTGGCCGGAAGTAGCCAGCACCTGCTCTGAGAAGATGCTCTAATTGCCCTCCTACCTGTAACAACTCCAGTTAAGAAGTTATTCACGACCTAGTCCCATAGTCTATGAGGCATGGTGGCTAATTCAGGAGAAAAAAAAAAAACTACAGTTCTGGCCTTCTAGGAACTGAAAATCTAGTTGGAAAGAAAGAATAAACAAATACAAATTATTTAGGTTATAATTAAGTGCTCGCTGTGTGGTCCTGGATGCAAATGAAATCAGAGTGCCTTATTGAAGAGGCAAGACTTGAAAAACTGAGCCTGGGAAAGTGAATGGAGCGAGGGTGAGTGTGTGTCGGGGGATGTTGGGGGAAAGATGAGGAAGGAGCAGAGGGGGTGCATGAGTGCCATGGACGAGCGTGTGAGGCGCACAGTGGAGGAGAGGTGGGCACTGAACTGTGGCAGATGTAAAGAGCTGCATTGACTGAAGCAGAGGGGAACCAGAGGGGATGATGTGGTCATCTGAGCAGGAAAGATGGAGTCACATGGCCACAGAAGCCAGAAAGAAGACTCTAAAGGCCAAGCACTGGTGATCTCCAGTGGTGGATCCCCAGCGACAGCGGGCAGGGATCTCCCAGACGCATTGGGTGTGAGGCCTGCAGGCTGACTGGCACATAGATGCCCATGGCCATGGCAGCTTGGCAGGGTCCAGCTCAATTCCAAGCTGCTTGGCTCACCAGCACACTGACAGTCTTGGGTCTTACTGATTAATAATGTGCCTCCCAACACTCCCCAGGGGTTGCAGTCTGTGACTCAGGATGCCTTGGGCCACTCTCCCAGGCAGCTGTTGTGTGTGGGATGTGGTGGTGTGGTCATCTGTCCAGATGCAGGCATTCCTAAAAGCATGTTCTTGAGCATGATGAAATTCAGATGGGTGGGGGTGGAAAGACAAACAAAAATATGACATCCATCAATTCTTAACACTCAGGTTTTTAAATCAACTTTATAACTTCAGTTACAATTTCATAACACTTAATATTTGCTAGTCAAATTAACAAATCTGTATTAGATGGCATCTGCTTTTGTAATTATTTCTGAGTTTTTGTAAAAAAAAGATTCTAACAAAGAAAATACTTGTTGGCAAAGTGGTTTTTATGCAGTCTTCTTTTGATGAGGACGTTGAGACTTTTTGAGAGATTTCTTGACTTTGCGCTGTTTTTTCCCTTTCTTTTGCTTTTTCTTTTGGCTAATCTGTGAGGAGAGGGTGTAAAAAAGGTAATATTTTAGAATCTTACAACTTCTCCCTCCTTGTATTACATTCACACTCTCCAGACTATGTTGTTTATCCTCAAGATTGGGATGAAGTTGCTTTATTCTCTGAGTCTCTCTGCTTTGAGGAGGAAGCAACAGCCTTCTAATTGCCCCTGTTAGTCTCTTTTGACTTATTACTGTCCTCAGTCAACCTTGCTTACTACCCATCTGCCCCAACCACAACCCTCTGAGGTTGATACTAACCCCACCCACTTTTAAAAAATGATTTAGGGGCTGGTGCTGTGGTACAGTGGGTTAATGGCCTGGCCTGAAGCGCCGGCATCCCATATGGGCACTGGTTCGAGACCCAGCTGCTCCATTTCCGATCCAGCTCTCTGCTATGGCCTGGGAAAGCAGTGGAAGATGGCCCAAGTCCTTGAGCCTGTGCACCCATGTGGGAGACCTGGCTCCGGAAGCTGCTGGCTCCGGATTGGTGCAGCTCCAGCCATTGTGGCCAACTGGGGAGTGAACCAGCGGATGGAGGACCTCTCTCTCTCCCTCTCTCCCTCTGCCTTTCCTCTCTCTGTATAACTCTGACTTTCAAACTTTTCAAATAAATCTTTAAAAAAACATTTATTTATTTATTTATTTACTTGAGAGGCAGAGTTACCGAGAAGAGAAAGGCAGAGAGAGAGAGAGAGAGAGAGAGAGAGAGAGAGAGAGAAGTCTTCCATCCACTGGTTTGCTCCCCAAATGGCTGTAGTTTGGAGTGGAGCCGATCCAAAGCCAGGAGCTTTTTCCAGGTCTCCCACATGGATGCAGAGTCCCAAACACTTGGGCCATCTTCTGCTATTTTCCCAGGCCATTAGCAGAGTGGCAGTGGAGAAGCCAGGACTCGAACAAGAGCCCAAATGAGATGCCAGTGCCATAGGCGGAGGCTTAACCTACTATGCCACAGCGCCAGCCCCACCTCATCCATTTTTTACATACGAGGAAGCAGAGGTTTGCACAGGGTGACTTGCCAAAGCTGCACAAGCAGTATGTGGGTGAACCACTAGACAGCCCTCATTAAACCCAACTCCTCAGAGCGCCATGCTGGAATCTTCTCACTTTATTGTGGTCTACTTTTCCACCTCAGTCCTGTCACACCATGCACACAAACTCCAGTTCTATTACTTCCGGCTTCCTGAGCACAGCAAGCTCTCTGGTGATTCTACTCTTTTGGTCATGCTATCCTTCCTCTCCTCGTGAATCGCTTTCTTTCAAGATCCAGATCCAATGCATTTGATATCAGAAGTCTTGCTAATACTTTCAGCACACCCCTTCAGCCAATAAAATTAATACTCCTTCCTCCATAATCTGCAATATCTTGTGCATATCTTTATTTTCTATTTCTCCTGTTGTATCACAACTGCTACAGAAGGGACTATATTTTATTGCCTTTGTATCCTTAGTGTATATCATTTGAGTCAGTACAAGTCAAAATGACACCATTTTGAAAACTATATCCTTACATTGAACTACCTAGATTCTCTGTCTTCCAAAGTTAATTTCTAAAAGAAAGAAAACTTTATTTTTTCTTTTTACCAACCTGTTTTTTCCACTTTTCTACCAATTCTTTCACCTTGGTTGAATCCGGATTTAGACATATTTGAGTCCCATCCTTCTTTGTGGCACTGCCAAGGAAATAGCAATAAGATTTTTTTCTCTGTTAATAATTTAAATATTTTTTTGCAGAGATAGTGAAAATAAGTAGCAATATCTTCTGAGTTTTCCAATGAACCTACTGAGAATATAATAAAATGTTTTCCTAAAACAAGATTAACAGGCTGGTGAATTTTTAAAAATTGTCTACAGCAAATCTTCTAGAAATAATTTAAAGATTGTTTTCTTTAATTTCTCTGTAAAGTCTGAGAGAACAAGAGTAGCTGTTCCATGTGTTATCTAAGATTTAGGTATCAAAATACTTAAAATATGCATATTACTTAACCTAGTAACTATAATTTCTAGAAAGGTGTTAATAGGAAAGATTAAAGATACAATACTGCCACCAAAGTTTGAAAATAACAAAAATTAGAAATAACATATATTTATAAAACTAGGCATTGGTCATAAAAATTATGATATATTCATATGATGGAATGCATTATGAACATTAAAATTATATTAAAAATGAATTTAGAGAAGATTTACTGGCATAAGAAAATAGTCATGATTACGGTGTCGATGTAAAAACAGAGTATCAAATTGTATGTAATAGGCCGGCGCCGTGGCTCACTAGGCTAATCCTCTGCCTTCAGTGCCAGCACCCTGGGTTCTAGTCCCGGTCTGGGCACCGGTTCTGTCCCGGTTGCCCCTCTTCCAGGCCAGCTCTCTGCTGTGGCCAGGGAGTGCAGTGGAGGATGGCCCAAGTGCTTGGGCTCTACACCTGCATGGGAGACCAGGAGAAGCACCTGGCTCCTGGCTTTGGATCGGTGCAGCACGCAGGCCATAGCGGCCATTTGGGGGGGTGAACCAACGGAAGAAGGAAGACCTCTCTCTCTCTCTCTCTCTCTCTCACTGTATAACTCTGCCTGTCAAAAAAAATTGTATGTAGTATAGATTTTATATATTATTTATATAAAAACATATTTACAAATATAATTATTAAACAATAATTTTATTATTTGTAATATATTATATAATTATATATGACATAATAATAGTTATAATCAAATATATTACTAAAATATATTACAATATATTTTTATATATTTTTATATATATAGTCTCTAAAGTGGTACACACAAAGCCAATGAAGGAGATTTAGAAGACTATATTCCAAAGGGTTATTAGTATTTATCACTGGATGGTTGATTTTAAGTCATTTCATTTATTTCTTTTCAGCTATCTACATTACACATTTTCTGCAATGAAAATGAGTCACTTCAATAGTATATTATCCTTGGTTTCTTAGCTGTGTCAGGAATTCTTTTTTTTCTTTTAAGGAGAAGAAAAGAAAGGAATAGACCAGATTTATGGAAGCCCTAACCTGAATTTTAGGTGTCAGAACAGGAAGCACTCCAGGGGAAGTAATCCCACGAAACTTAATGTTTCTGCGAATATGGCACTTGTTTGCATGAGAGTTTACTTACATGATTTCAGTCTTCCCACAGGAAGGGCTTGGGGAAAACTGTTTAAGGTCTTTTAAGGATTGTAGGTGGATCTTCCCTTGGGTGCTGCTGATGCAAGAACAGCGTCCATTCCTCATTATTGGAGTTCCTGTGGGAAAGAGAAAGAGCAGAACACATAGGCTGAAGGCAATTTCTCAACTTAAGTGAGCCATCAAATGATACATTTGACTTAATCATGACTATTGCTATTAATTACCAAGTATCTGTAGATCATCACAATAAATTTCCGAAGCAGGTATTACCTCCATTTCATAGATCAGGAAGAGAAGGTTCACAGAGGTAAGTAAGAAGAAAGCCACAGGGCTTTTGCAAGGATTTCAGCTCTGTTCTCTGAGTCCAAAGGTGTTGCTCTTAACTGTCTCACTCTTAGGAGGAAAAGAGACGTTCCTAATATTTAACAAATGCCTATTACAGGTTAAACACAGGAACATAATTCATATATGGATCAAGTTTCTTTTAAAAAAATTATTTTTAATTTATTTTAAAGAGTCACAGAGAGGGAGAGGAAGAGACAGACAGAGATCTTCCATTCACTGGTTCACGTCCCAAATGTGTGCAATGGCTAGGGCTGTGCCAGGTGGAAGTCAGGAGCCCAGAGCTTCTTCTGGGTCTCCCATGTGGGTGCAGGGGCTCAAGCACCTGGGCCATCTTCCACTGCTTTCCCTGGGGCATTATCAGGGAGTTGGACCAGAGGTGGAGCAGCCAGGTCTCAAACCAGTGCCTAAATGGGATGCTGGCATCGCAGGCGGTGATTTAACCCGCTACGTCACAATGCTGGTCCCATGGATCAAGTTTCTTAAGCAAGTTCCAAATCCATTTATTCCCTGACCTTGGTGGAGCAGCGTTAGTGTTGGGCAGACAGCTCAACTTACAATAGCCAATTAACATCCCATCCTCCTTCCTTTTCTCTGCCTTAATTCAAAATTTAGACTTTTGCAAACTGTTTAAAATACACTACCTTCATGCATTAATTCTTACATTCATCCAATGCATATTTACTCAGTGCTTACAATGACATACATTAACCACAAACTTTCCATTTTACAGATGAGGAAATGGAGTTCTAGCAAGCTTATTTGCCTAAGTTACGAAAGCAATAAACAGATAACCTCTTTGATTATCGAATGCTTCCTTAACTGGTTAATCACAGACATACTTATCAAAAAGTAATATCCAGGTGAAAAAAAAAATTTAGGAGACAGTCTGTCCTCTCATTGTCACCGACAAACATTTAAGGAACACTTACAGGAATTCACATACCTACACTGATAAAGCAGTGTTTGACTTGGCAGGTCCAAGTTATGACCTTTGGAAAATCAACTGCATCACTAAACAGCTTCTGATGCATGCAAACATGGAACTGCAGTGAGCCAAGAGGCTTTTATAGTGATTCACACCTCTGACTTTAATAACCTGATTCAGAACTCCTTACCTTGAACTCCAATCAGAACCAGGAAGGTGAAACCCAAGAGGAACAGAACACAACTTTTCTTCATAGTGGTGGACTGGAGTCCTGTTAAGTCACTCTTGTACTGGATTGGAAGCCTGAGAAACTCTTTACAAAACATGCTCTTGGGAACCATATTTATTTAGGAAATCTACTTTCCTTTGGAACTCTGATTGGCTGTTGTCCTTAGCTGATTAGCTAAACTAACCATACACTGTTTTTGTGCTGGGGGAAACCCTACTCTCAGATCCAAGGGAATTTCTGCATGTTTTATTCCCATTTCACATAAATGGGTAATTTATAGTAAGAGATGTGAAACTAGCAACAGCAGTGGACTTTAGCATCCTTATCAAGCTCACCTGGTTGAAAACAGGTAATATAATGAATACACTAACATCATACAACAGGGTTGGAAATGTGGTTTCCATACAGGAAATATTAAAGTCCAGACTTTTCAAAATCATTTACTATTTGTGCCACATCCTTTTGTAAAAATATAGCTACATTTATCTTTTCTTATACTGCCCACCCTGTAACTTAAAAGACTTTAATTTCTGTAGGAAGCAGGTAATTTTCTTTAGTGGCAAGCTCATTTTGTTTTCATTCTGATACTATTTATTATTGTTTAAACTGTTACATCAATTAGAATCGGGACTCAGCTGCAAGACCCAGACCCAAATAAACAGTAGTTAATCAGGAGTGAAACTTATTCTCCCTGACAGAGCCTGTACAGGTGGACCAGAGCTTATAATGTGGCCCTTTGCCATAACGTCTTCCAGGTCCTTTCTATCCTGTCGTGTTACCACAATTTCCAGGGCGCTGCCATCACACACATGGCCCAAAGTAGCTGGCTACCATGTCTAATTTCTCAGCGCAGGTTGGTGGGAAGGCAGGACAACATGGGCTTACTTCTCAGATACATCCTGGAGATACACCCAGCCTGGTCCATCGCTTCCCCTGGGACGGAATTTATTTATTCACGTGGTCACACCTAGTTGCAGGGGAAGTTAGGAAATGTGGTCTTGATTCTGGCTGAGCAACAAGAGATGGAAGTTCCATTATTGTAAAACATTTCTCAACCCCCTCCCCCCTTTTTAGAATTTTGAACTCCTCCTGGCCTCCTGAGGAAAAATACATTTAAATTAAGGCATGCAAATTGAATTTCTTCTTAAAGAGAGAAATTAAATACTAAGAAATAAGACTTCAGTAGGCAGAGCTGAGCCTTGCTGGGCCACTAATCCCTGTAATAGCCAACATTTTTTAGCCTTCTAAGAATCAATTTTTGTCTCCTTTAAAGCAATACTGCCCCTTCTCACCATACTGAGAACCCATGCTGTGCAATAAGGGGAGAACAGACATTAGCATTCTATGGCACATTATGGACTGGTTTTTATATGGATTATTAATGCCTAAATAGAACATTAAGGAATCTTCTTTGGGGGAAAAAAACCCTTGTGGTGATTTTTGGTACAACTTATTGATGTGATTATGCTTAATTTTGGTAATGACTATGACCATGTATAGGGTGGGGTTGGAATCAGGTCCTAGTTTCATTACCTAACGACTGTGTGCAAAATACTTAATTTTGGTGAGCTTCAGTTCCCTCATGTGAAAAAAAAAATCAGTTACCAACTTGACGGGTTGTTGTTAAGGGTGACATCAACTGTGCACTGCCAACTGCAAAGCACCGCAGGGCTCGTTGCTATTCTTTCTAGGAAACAAAAGAGCATGAAATCCTCAAGGCCTAGCATGATCGCTCCTTTCCAACCTCCTCTTGCAGAATTCTCTGCTCCCATCACTGTGGCTTCTCTCAATTGCTTAAAGGGACAACGCTCCTTCGTTTCGCGCTGTTTGCGCATGCCTTTTCCCTGTGCCTGCTCTAAATCCGGACCCTGTTGCCCAGTAATCTTACCATGCAAGCATCATCTCTCCGTCCCCTCAAAGACTTCCCTGAGCTCCACACCACGTGTGGTCAGGCTCCCGCTGCACGCTCTCATGGCCCCACTTGCCTCTCGTTGAGCCTAAATCCACGTCAATGTTACCTTTCTCTATGATCCTATGATTTCTAGTGCCTTCTACCATTAGAGAAGGAAGGTCTATGCAGGTCACGGCTAAGCATAGTACCGAGCAGCGTGCAGCACAGAAGGTTCTGGAAGCCCCGTACAGTAAGTCTCAGCACTTAGTCGGATGCCTGCATGTGCGGCGCAGCCTGGCTCCGAAGGCCCTGCAGCCTCTTCCGGGGGCTGACGCTTGCGCATACTGCGCATGCCCGGTCCCCTGGCCTTCCAGAACCTTCTTCGGCGCGGAGGTTACAGCTGGAGCCGCCTCCCTCGTGCCTCTCGTGGAGCTGCTGATTGCCGCCGCTGCCAGCTCCGGTCCGACTGAAGCGGAGGAGATACTTCAGGAGAAAGGTAATGGCTGTGTTCCTGGGGACCGCTCCTTTCTGGCCCCGGGCCTTCCCACAACTTCGCGGCCCAGGGAGGTGAGGGGGCCGCGGCGGCGAGCAGAGGCCCATTTTGTGGGGGCCACACGAGGCTGGGGGAGGGGCCGGCTGCGGATGATGCCCCCTGAAGGGCCTGGTCAGTGGCGTGCTGGCCGCAGGGCGAGGCTCGGGAAGGTCCTTGGGCGGCGGTGACCCTTTTGGGGGGGGTGGGGAGGTGCTGAGGCGAGGCTCTCGTGGACCCCTCAGGAGGGGCAGACCCCCTCAGGGGCGGCTTCCCGGCTGTGGTGCGGGGCTACTGTTCGGGCGAGCAGGCCTGGCCCGGAGACGTTACAGCATGGCCGCTCCCCGCTGCTTGGGCCTCTCCTGACCCCTGTTTCTCAGGCCTCTTTTCTGACCCAGCGGAAGGAGGGAAAACCCCACAGCCCTTGGGTCTGGAGGCAAAACGGAGCTTTTAAGAGAAACAGAAACTTGGCGGGAGAGCATTGCAGGGATTTCTCACATTGCTGGGAAGCGAGCCAAGGTTTAGCAGGAGGGCGGAAGGGCAGCAGATGGGTCCCAGCTTTAACCTCTTATCTGTGTGTCCCCAAGGAGCCCGTGCCGCCCACCTGCGAGCCGCGCGGAGCGGGAGTGCGGGTTTCCGGCCGGTCTCCCTCCGTCATCTTGGTTGAGGAGTTGATGTGGTCTGTTCAATTACGTATTCCATGTGACTCTGTCTTTTATGCTTTTCAAAGATTTTCTTTTTTGAGAAGATCAGTCCTGCTTTTACTTGTGAGACGGGAAGTGGCTCTCATAATGAAACCTCCAGGCCTGTTTTAATGCCTCGGGGCATGGACTTCCCCTCTATTGCTGGTATTAAAAAACTTGAAAAAGGTTTAGTTCTTGAAAGTCTTCGAAGCCCCATCTTAGCCTTATGAATTTTTTCTTTCTCCCTTTCCTTCCTGCACCGGCCTGCCTGCCTACCTGCCTGCCTTCCTTCCTTCCATCCATCCATCCATCCATCCTTGCAAAATACTAGGCTAGGGTATGCTGTCTGCTAGCAAACCTTGGTTTTTAGCTCCGTGTCCGGTCTGTGTCTCAGGTCACTAAGAAAGGAACAAGTTCTTCCTTGGCTAATCTTGCTAGCTGGCCTCCTGGGATCATGAATCATCAATCTATCTAATGTCCCCCTCCCCCCCATCGCTCATGTGAAGCTTAGGGACTCCTGCGAGGGGGTATCAGGATGCTGGTTCCAGAACAGCTGTGGCTAATGTTGATAGCAGTAGCATTTTTGCTCTGTGACTTTGGAAGTCTCCTGAGGTACATGTGCAATCATTAAGAAGCTGCAGCCTAACTTGAAAAATATTTATCCTGAAAGGGAGAAAATATCTTCATGTTTAAAATAGCCATATTTATGTAAAAGGATTTTTAAATTGCTTATCTAAATAACTTACAAGAAAAAATCCAAATTCTTGAGACACTTCATTTACTGTTTATCTTTCATTTCAGTTAATTCATAAAACCTTAAAGGTTATGACTCTAGATGCAGAGAACACAAATATGGGCAATAATTTCTGTCTCAAAGAACTCACAGTTTACTGGGGGAAATGGCATGTAAATGAACAGCTGTAGGAGGAAGAGTGATAAAGGACTGAAGGTGCTGAGAAGTCCTCAACTTGGCTAGAAGTTTAAACCCAGCTGTTTGAATTAGCCCTGAAAGGGAGAAGTGCTTGGAACACTTTATTAGAAGGTGGGGGAAAAGTATTCTGAGCAGGTAGGGTGAGAAGGTACCTACATGTTAGAAACTGCAGGTGCTTGGGCAAGGTAAAGTGCAGAATGACAGGGTGTGGTGAGAAATGAGGCTAGACGTGTAGCAGGAAACAGATGAAAGGCCTTGTCCATCTCTCGGGTGTAGAGACATTTCCAGATTTTAACTAGGGGAGTGACATGAAGAAATTTACACTCACGGCTGTATGTACACTTGTCACCAAATGGTATCTTTCGATTAATATTATTTGATGCAAGCCTTTTCTTTTATTGATGTAGTTACATAATGTTCCAATGACACTTCCTATTTCTACTCTTTTTTTTTTTTTTTTTTTTTTTTTTTTTGACAGGCAGAGTGGACAGTGAGAGAGACAGAGAGAAAGGTCTTCCTTTGCCGTTGGTTCACCCTCCAATGGCCGCCGCGGCTGGCGCGCTGCAGCCGGCACACCGCGCTGATCTGATGGCAGGAGCCAGGAGCCAGGTGCTTTTCCTGGTCTCCCATGGGGTGCAGGGCCCAAGCACCTGGGCCATCCTCCACTGCACTCCCTGGCCACAGCAGAGAGCTGGCCTGGAAGAGGGGCAACCGGGACAGAATCCGGCGCCCCAACCGGGACTAGAACCTGGTGTGCCGGCGCCGCTAGGCGGAGGATTAGCCTAGTGAGCCGCGGCACCGGCCCTATTTCTACTCTTAATTGTCAGTGCTGGATGTTTGAGTTGTTTTAAATATCTCAGTAATATAACGCTGCTCAATATAACAATTTTTTAAAAAGATTTTACTTTCTTAATGCATTTTCCTTCCTAGGAACTAGAGGGGCAAAAGTTAAGAATATTTTTGTATCCTCTTTAACTTAAAAAAAAAAATTCATTTGAGAGGAAGAGGGAGCATGCAGGTACCTGCCCAGTCTGCTGATTCACTCTCCAAACAGCTGTGATGGCCACGGCAGAGCCTGGTTAAGGGCAG